AGCCCCAGAGGATTAGCAACCCCTGAAACATTATGATGTACCAGCCCACCAAAATTCTACCCACATTTTCACCCTATGTGACATAACGAACTGGGTTTTGCCAGAGTTGACCTATTTCAAGCTGCACATATATATATATATATATATACATATATATATATATATATATATATATGCATGTACTTGTGTATATATATGTAGGTGTATGTGTGGATATGTATATTGTATATATATATGTATATATGGGGAGGTTATACTCCTACTCCAACACATATTCAGCCTGAATGTCTATCCAGGCAGGTATGTGTAGATCAGTTATTACAGGATCATGTATATAAAAAGGATTTGCCTCTGTTACCTTTAACTCTTACAAGCCTTTCAGCATCTTCCGTTGCCTCCCTCATTTTTTGCCAGCCTCTCTCTTATTGTATATCGATTTCCTCTTCACTCAAGTTAGCACTTGCTACCCTCTAACCAGTGTCCTTCCCTCCCTGTCCTTTCTACCACCCTTTGTAGCTATCACAGAATATTTCTTCTCGTGTGAAACCCCTTTCTTTTTACAATAGTGATCAGATTCAATATCTACCCTTTGGTTATTAGTTCCAGCCGGTGTGATGTCTCCCAGGTTCATTCACATTGAGAGGGGTTTTTCAGATGCATAATTAGTCTTTAACATTGCTAGTATTCCATTATGTGTATGTAAATAAGCAAAGTTTATTTATTCATTCTTCTAATGAGAGGCATTTAGGTTATTTCCATCTTTTTGCTATTGCGAACAGCACACTCTGGAATAGTTTAGATAGACTCAATGTCAGCTCTCCTCTGAATGTTTGGTAGAAATTATCAGTGAAGCTTCCTTAGCCTATGAAGGGTATCCAAAAAATACTGTAAAAAGCCTCCTCTGGGTGGAGTTTTCAGAGTATACACTTTTTCCCCCTAGGTGAGCATCAAGCAACTTACTCTGAGTTAATGCCCCAAAGGTGTCACCTGGGAAGGTTCTCTGGTCACAGTGAATTTTTTCATAAAAGCAGTTTCACTCAAACCTCCTTTTTTGTGATGGCCAATTTAAGAGAACAGTGTGCAGCTGTGAAATTTTGTTTCCTGATCAGGAAAAATACCACAAAAACTGTTGTGATGTAGAACACAGCTTACAAGGGCAGTGCTATGGGAAAAACACAAGTGTACGAGTAGTTTTCTTGTTTCAAAAAAGGTGAAATATCTATTGATGATAAACCTTGTTCTGGATGTCCATCAACTTCCCAAACGAACGAAAATATCAACTGGTAGTGCATTTGGAGTTTGTCCCACCAGGGTAGACTGTTAATCAAGCTTTCTATTTAGAGGTTCTGAAAAGATTACATAAGCATGTCTGACAAAACAGGCCTGATTTGTGGCAGACTGGGGATTAGTTTTGCCACCACGACAATATACCTGCTCATGCAGCCATCTCAGTGTGCCAGTTTTTGGCAAAAGCAGCATGCCTTTCTTGCCTGTGCAGCTGACTCACCTGACCTCACTCTGTATGACTTCTTTTTGCTTCCACGAATGAAGAGGGACATGAAAGGACATGTAGAAGAGGTGAAGAAAAAAACGAGGGAGGTGCTGTCAGCCACCCAAACATTAGAAAATGTTTCCAACAGTGGAATCACAGATTTGACAAGTGAATTAAGTGTAATGAAGAGTATTCTGAAGGTGATAAGGTTGTTTGGTAAAGAAAAATTAAACACAGGTCGCGAGCACTCGGTCTCTCCATTGGACGCTCTGTAACAAGCAGGGCCAGTTTTCTATCAAAATAAGAAAGTATGGAGGTGAGATCCAATGTGATTGCGCTGACAGAGGTAAGATGGTGGACAGTGCAGGGCTGAAGATTGAAAAGTCTAGAGAATGTGGCTGCCAGCTGGAGATCCAGAGCACGCCAGAGATCTGGAACAGGCAGGAGACCTGTGAGCATGCTGGAGATCTGGGGCAGGCCAGAGATCCAAAGCAGGCTGGAGATCCAGAGCATGCCAGAGATCTGGAACAGGCAGGAGACCTGTGAGCATGCTGGAGATGTGGGCAGGCCAGAGACCCATGAGCAGGCCAGGGATCTGGAGCAGAGCTCTCGTCTTCTCCTGGCTGTGGATACTGAGCATAGTCAGCTTTGAGGACGTCCTCAGGCGATGGCAGCGAGGTGATCCATCTGACCGCCATCGCATCCACATCCAACCCCAAACGTCAGAATTACAGCCCTGGGAAGAAGAGGGGTGAGGAGCTGATAGCATGGATGACTGTTTAACCACACTTTGTTAGAAATTAGTATTTCCACTTATGCTCATTTTTTTGTTGCCATTAGCTTGATTTTTTTTTAATCCTTTGATTTTCAGTCAGTTTGTCTTTGTGTCCAAGGTGTGTCTTGTAGACAGCATATTGATGAATCCTGTTTTCCTATCCATTCTGCTACTATCTGCCTCTTGCCTGGTTCATTTCATCCATTTGCGTTTAGTATAAATGTGGATCGGTATGAACTTATTGCTGTCATTTTGCTGTGTTGTGTGTGTGTGGTGCTGCTGATTTCTCTATTTCACATAATTGTCTGTGATTAATTTTGGTCATGAGTTTTCCTGTTATTTGCTCTGTTGTTGTTTTAGTGTTTAGTAAATCTCTGTGATTTTCCTCTTTTTTATTTTGTTGGGGTTCATTCATTTCATTTGTCACCCTGCAATTTATTGATTTCTTTTCAAGTTTGAAATAGTTCTGTCTAGAAATCTACTTCATTTCCTATTTGAAAGTTCTGTAGCTACACTATTTTCTCACTTTGTAATTGTATTGTTACAAGTTGATATCCCTGATTCTCTATTTTCAGTCTTTTAGGTTAGTTTTACTGTGGATATTTCTATACCTAAGTTGACTTATTGTTGGTGGTGTTATATATGTTAACCTACTCTTGTTGGTTCTCTGTTTATAGAACTCCCCTTACTATTTCTTCTAAAGTTGGCCTTGTTTTTTACAAATTCCTTTAATTTCTCTTTATCTGAAAATAGCCTACATATTTGTGGGACAGCTGTGCTGGGTACATGAGTCTTGGTTGGGGTTTTTGTTTGTTTCCTTTCAGTGTTTATATATATCATTCTATTGTAAGGTGACCAGACGTCCCGCTTTTGGCGGACAGTCCCTATTTTTAACAATTTGTCCCACGTCCCACGGTGTTTTAAAAAAGTCCCGATTTTTGGAAAGAATGCATGACAAGCTAGGGAACAGTGGGAGAATGGGAAGACCAAATTTTTAATCAAGAACCACCCCCTTCACCCAGTCAATGGTGTCCCGCTTTACCAATGTTAAAATCTGGTCACCTTATTCCATTGCCTTCTTCCATATATGGTTTCTGCTAAAAATTAGAGCTTGGGTTTATTGGTTTCCCTTTGTAGCTAACTTTTCATCTTTCTGCAGCTGCTTATAGGGTTCTTGGCTCATGTTCCATCATGATTACGATGTCATGATTTTCTTGTGGAATCTGCCCTGTTTAGAGTTCACTCAGCTTCTTGAATACCTGTCTTCTCATCTTTCATGATGTTAGGTTAATGTTTATCAACAATTGTTAAATTTATCTGTGCTTTTTGTTGTTTCATCTTGTTCACAAATTCCAATCCTGTGTATGTTTTTTCCATGTTTTCCTTGCTTTCTCTCACTCAAACGGAGTCTAAATACCAGCCTTTTGAATTTTTTATCAGACAGAGTCTGTACCATTTATTTCTGACCAAGGTCACTGCCCATTGTTAGAGCCTCTCTCCCTTGTGTCCTTATGTGAACTGAATTTTCTATTGTCTCTGAGGCATAGTGGTGATGTTGTACTTGAGTTTAATCAATGGTTTTAGGTTGGTGACCTTAGGCACTCACCATCTGTATCCTGGTGGCTACACTAGATAGTGTGAATGTGTGAGCACTTCTTTATTTACTATTCCTATAACTCAGCTGAGGTCAGGTTTGGCTGGTATTTTCTGCTCTCTATGGTCAGATGATACAGGGGTGGGAAATGGCCCTCACCCAGTAGATATGGCTCCAGGAGGTATGGAGGTGGCTGGACCCTGTGAGCACAGTTGCTATCATCTATAAGATAGGACAAGGGGGGGGCGGGGTGACACTAGAAAACAAACAACAAGATAAAATGATTTTTTTAAGTAGGGAAAAGCATACCATTAACAGCCAGAGGGAAAAAAGAGAGAAAAGGAAATTAGAGTATATGAGAAAAGGTGAAATAAAAAATACAATATGCAAAACTAGGGAGAGGGAGAACTAAAGCAAAGAATAGAAAGAAAAAGCAAAGGGAAAGGAGATAAATGAAAGAAAAAGAGGTACAAAACAAGAGAAAGGAAAAAGAAAACCAGAAATGATGGCAAGAGCACAGACCAGAGAGAAGACTATAGAAAGCAGGTGCTTAGTATGGATCAGCACCTTCTGCCAGAAATGGAGGGGTGATGGGGTGGGAAGCCTGGTCTCATTTGAAGTCAATGCCCAGATTTTGTGTAGAGTCATGGTCCTGATCTGGAAATAGTTTTGGGTGGCTCTTTCCTGGAAAGGAACTCTTTCAGGCCCACAGAGCAGCTGGGGGCAAGGTAGGTAGTTAAGGAAGAAGTTCTCATCTGGCCATGGTAGCTAACAGAAGGATGCTTGTCTGGCACTGTGCTTTCTACTGTTCTGATGAGGTAGAGCTCGTGAAACTCCAGAGTGAGGGTGGTCAACCAGCAGCCCCAGCCACAAGAGACAGCTCCAACCTCAGGCAGAGCAGGGAGTGCGTGGAGTTCCTTCATCTCCAACAGCGCCCCGTGCCTGAGGCAAAAGGGTCTCCACTACATTGCTTTCTAGGCTATTGTAAGATCTAAAGGTGACCCCAGGAAGACTATATCTTTGAGAGCTCAATGTATTCTAGGAGGGTGAAAGCAGTAACAATGCTTTCAGTAACAATGAAAGCTACATGACCCACCCTCAGTCTTACACTAACATGCTGTACCTTTTTTCTCCCACAGGCCCAGAGGGTGAACAGAAAGTTTTCCAAACCAAGCAGAGCTCACCAGTTCGTGGAGAAGAGATCTCCTCCCACCTCTTGTTCAGGCGGCACTGTACTGAACCACACTTCTTCCCCTAGCCAGCAACCCCTGCCGGACAGTCCCCACCTGGCGCTCAACCAGACAGGCTTACCTAACAGGGACCAGCAGGAATTTGCCAGACAAGCCGGCAACCCTGCCAGCCATCTGTTGTCTTCCCAGAGAAGCAAGTCCTTGTTTTGTTTGCCCATGGGATGTCCCTCCCCAGCCTCCTTGGCTGGACTACAGTGGCTCACAAACACAGATCCCCGAGGGCACAGTACAGCTGAATGGAGGCACAGCCAACCCCTCTCCATTGACGACTTAGAGGGGGCCCAGGAGACCGATGTGGACACGGGCCTGAAGCTGTCCTCATCAGACCTCTCCATCGTCTCTGCATACTCTGCACCTAGTAGGTTTTGCAGTCCTGTGGAGACAGATGTTCCCTCAGAAGCAAGCAGCAGTCATTTGCCCCAGTACAAAGATTCCAGAGAAGGCCTGCTGCCTATGTTGAGCACAGTGGCCCCTGAGACCCCCAGCCCCTCCCTTCCTTTCCTAGCCAAAGGGTCTTGTAGTTCCTCGGTGATTTCTGTCACTGCTTCCTCAGCTTCCGGCACCTCCTCACTCACAGAATCATCCCAGGGGCCCTCTTATGACATTCCTAATGCCATGCCATCTGGCAGAAGCGTCCCACCATCCCCAGCATTGGCTGGCCCTGGAAATGAAGAGGAGGAGGAATTCTACATCTAAAGCCCAGCGTTTCCACACGGACTCACACATAGGCTGAGAGCCCCTGCCTCTCAGGTGTCTCTGAGCACTACTAGTTTTCTCAGCCCTGCTTCCACACATCTCTTTAAAGTTTAAGGATCAGTTTCTTAAGGATCACTCGTACATTTGTCATTACCCACCCCTGCCCGCCACCCCAGTTCTTATATGAGCTGATGGTATATTTCTAAGGACTTGGAAAAAATACTGACATTTCAATGCAAATAAATCTCAACAACCTTGGGTTGTAAAATATATTTTTGAATATGCCATTTGAGCTATGATTTAGTATGTGTATACAATGTAAATGTGTCATATGAGGTATTTGGATGAAAAGAAAGTATAATCAGCTAGAGCTGATTTAGCAATTTTTCATGCTGTGAAGGAAAATTAAAATCAAAAGGCTGAAACTGGGACAGATTGAGTTACTTGTACGAGAGATTAGTGTATAATTACATAGTGTACCACTTACTAGAGAAAAAGCAAAACAGACCACTCCCATCAAGTGGATTCTGTCTCAGAGCAACTTTGTGTCAGGTTCAGGAGAGTAGATCTTTCAGGAGCAGGCAGTCTCTCGTTTCTCCCACAGTATGGCTGAGAGGTTTGAACCACAGATCTGGTGATTTGCGGCCTAATCCTTATCCCGCAGCACCACCAGGACTCCTTCGTGTGCTTGCAATATATATTTATATTTACACGATCAGGGAACAATGACCCTGAAAATGCTTCAGTACTATTGTGCTTGAAAAAATAATAACTGGATAATGTATAGCCAGTTGCTGTGCAGTTGCTTTTCAATGGCAGATGTTTTCAGAAGTAGATCACTAGACTTCTCCCAAAGTGCCTCCAGTGGGCTAGGAGCTCCACCTCTGCATTCAGCAAACCCAAGGCATTAACTGCATTACTCGGTGACTCCTAAGCATGCCAGATTCACCCTAACACCCTACAAATCTGAAAATCTGAATTTACACAAAAGTTAACTAAAAATCAAACCAAACCCACTGCCATCAAGTTGACTCTGACTTATCGTGACCCTATAGAGGGTTTCCAATGCTGTAATTCTTTACATGAACAGACAGCCTCTTCTTTCTCTCTGAGAGCAGCTGGTGGGTTTGAACCACTGGCCTTGCCTTTAGTAGCCCAATGCTTATCCGGTAGCATTTCCAGGGCTCCTAAAACTAAGGGTAGCTAATGCTTTACAAGAATTTGCATAAATAACAAATCATTTGGTACACTGAAAATATGATTTGATTTCCAAAAACTAGATTTGCACACACTTTTCCAACAGCCGATTTATTGTAATGGGTATGGGTCTACAGAGCATCTCCACTTCCGAGATTTAGTTGATTCCTGGAGGAATCATTCATTGGAGCTGCAGAATGAAAAGATACTTGGACGCAATGAGAAGGGATTTTTTAAATCTTGATTTTTAAAGTCTTGATTTTTTAAATCCCAAATCCAAAGGTTGTAGATATCTGTATTAGCCACAGGAGCTCTGATTTTTATACTGCTCTGATAGTCTTGCACTATTTCCTGTGTGTGTGTTTTTTTTTAATTTTGAACTAGCATTTTAATTATACCAACTAATAAATGCCCCCTGTCCCCCAAATGGGAAATTTTACACAAAAGTCTTGCTCTCCTGAACAAACTCTACTGCACTTCTAACCTTCCACAAGTACAGAAGCCTTAACTAAAGCCAGAACTTCAGGCTGCACTTGGCTTTTCTGTCTGCTGTCTGTTTCATCAAAGCATGAACAGTATTGAAATATCACCTTTTCCCGGCACCCATTTAAGGGTTGTTTACAATTCTAACCACAGCAATACCAAATACTGCCTTTGGGGGCAGTGCTGGATTTTTCTAGAAGCAATGGCTCTTTTCCAGTCTGTAGCTCCTGATCTAAATAGTGTGTGACAGAAAAAAATTTTACCTTTCTGGAAGTATCCACACCAGTCCAGGTACAGCCTCAGAATCTGTTCCGCACATCTCGCCAAGAAGGTGTTACCAAGCAACAAATTTAAGCCGCAGCCCCAAGCCTTTGCTATTCCTGTAAATAGAACCTTAGATCCTTGCCCATAAATCCTGGCTTCTCCTGGACTCCTAATTTTAACATTTTGCTACATAATTTAAATAAACTAAATATGATCTCGTCTCTAGACCAAAAGTGAGCACTTTTTTTAATAAAAAGGGCAAAATAGTAAATACGTTAAGTTTTTAAGTTTCATCAACCATAGGTTCTATTGTAAATACTTCACTATAGTATTGTTAGGTAAGACGAGTCCTAAGCAATGTAAATATGCATGATAGTGATCTGTGTTTCAATAAAACTTTATTTATATAAACCAGCGGTAGGCCAGGTATGACTTTATTTGGCATGTCAACACTTGCTCTCTACTGCTCTTTATTTTTTATTTTTCTTTGAGAAGAACTCTGCCTGGGCCCAACCCCTCCATCCCGCCCTCTCTTTAAAATTTTTAAGAAATAAAATAGGCAAAGCAAAACAATTTGCCATTGGGTGGATTCTGACTTATAGTGGCCCAGGTATGTCAGAGTAGAACTACACAGGGTTTTCGGTGGCTGTTTTTTTGGAAATAAGTCATCAGCCTTCCTTAGTTAGCTAAGAGCCCACTAGCACCTCCCAGGGACATCACTGGACTGCTGCCTGAGGTCTGTCTAGATCAGCAACAAAGGATCCAAGCCTGTGCCCTGCTGCCACTGGGGGCCCTAAAGCCAAGATACTCAGGTCTAGTCAATGACTGTCGAACCACCGGGTGCCAACCAGGGAGTGACTTCTTTCTGCAGAGCTGGTCCTGGAAAGTCACTATCAGGCTGCCTAAAGATGTGACTCGCACCAGCAGATGCTGAAAAGCAACAAGCTAACATTTGGCATGTTAACACTTAATGTGCTTAAACGTACAGGTGTCACTTGAGGACGCAGGTGCTCCTGACCCAGGCTGTGGTCTTTTCAGTCACTTCATATGCATGTTAGAGCTAATCAATGAATCAGGAACATTAAAGAAGGATTGATTCAGGTGTGAATTATGGTACTGGGAACGGAAACAGTACACTATGGGTTGCCAGATGAACAAGTCTATTTTGGAAGAAATACAGCCCGAATGCTCCTTAGATGTGAGGATGGTAGGACTTCATCTCATCTACCTTGGACATGCTATAAGGAGGAACCAATCAGTGGAGACAGACATCATTCTTGGTAAAGGGCAGTGAAAAAGAGGAAGTCCCCAAGGAGATGATGGATTGACACAGTGGCTGCCACAGTGGGCTCAGGTATCACCATTGTGAGGATAGTGCAAGAGCAGGCGGTGTTTTACTCCGCTGAACGTAAGTTTACCAGGAGTCCAGACCAAGGGAATGGCATCTGACAACAACAACAATAGAAAGAGAAAAAGAAATAATCCACTGGGGGTGCCACAGTCTTCAGTGATGGCTCTCTTGTCCTTATCCTTTACTGGCTCCCTTATCTAAGGCATTCTAGGGTGCTTCCGATGGTCATACGCAACCTTAGTGCCACCGGGCTCCACCCTTTCTCAGGGACCCACCTGCTCACAGTCTGGTCTTCCCAATCTGTAGAGGAGAGCTTCTCCCTAGAGTTTCATAGTAGTGATCATGCAAAAGTAGATTGCCAGCCCTTTCTTCCAGGGTGCCTCCAAATGGACTCAAACTTCCAGCCTTTTAGTTAGAAACCAAATGCGGAACTGTTAGCCCATTTTCTCCATCTGGGAGAAATGACACCCACTTTGTCCTTGTCAATTCCTGGCTCCCTTGGAGTCTTCTGGTGGCGGATGCTGACACAAACTGAGGTGCTCACTCAACTCTGAATTAAGAAACTTTGAGGTAGGCTCAGAAAGTATTTCTCTCCTGAATTAGGCCGTATGATGGCAGAAATCTAACACTTAGCTCTGTTTGGGGTCATTTAGTGTTCCCTTGGCCTGGTGCTGTCCCCCAGCATTTTCCCAGGGTTTGTCAGTAAGTCTTCTGGCCGAATTTGAATATCATCGCTTACTTACCTCTTTTCCAAATAAGACCCTCAAGTTCCTGTCTCACCTGGACCTACCTTAAACACCACCTAGTATCACTTTTAAAGATCATAAGTTCTAGGCGTGTCCCTAAATTAACTAAATCACTGGAGAAAGCATCCTAGATTACCTTTAATTGGTTAAAATGGGTATCAAAGGGACCTCTGAGGGGGAAACGGGGCCACCTTTGTGATGGTGGGAGTGTTGTACAGTTTTTCAAATTGGGTTTTGGTATTGGCAGACGCTCTGAGCACCACCCGATCCAGTGTGGAGCATGGGTCACAGTAGAGTATATTGGATCTCTCTCACTTTCTAGCACATTCCCAGGCAAAACCAGTAGTTTATATTTATTCGGATGGCCATTATGCCCAGGGTTGATGTCTTCAGCCCCATGTCATTTAGGAGAAATTGAGGAAATTTTGATTCCTTCAGTGGGCTTTTTGTGGGGTGAATTCTCCAATGGATCAGAAAAGAACACTTTTGTACACATAGAATTCTGGAAGAGATTTTTTTATCATTTTATTGGGGGCTCGTACAACTCTTATCACAATCAGTACATACATCCATTGTCTGTCAAGCACATTTGTACGTTTGTTGCCCTCATCATTCTCAAAACATTTGCTTTCTACTGGAGCCCTTGGTATAAGCTCCTCATTTTTCCCCTCCCTCCCTGCTCCCCCTTCCCTCATGAACCCTTGATAATGTATAAATTGATATTATTTGTCATATCTTACACTGTCCGACGTCTCCCTTCATCCACTTTTCTGTTGATCGTTCCCCAGAGAGGAGGCTATATGTAGATCCTTGTAATCATTTCCCCCTTTTTATCCCACCTTTCCTTCACCTTCCCGGTATCGCCACTCTCACCACTGGTCCTGAAGAGATCATCCATCCTGGATTCCCTGTGTTTCCAGTTTCTATCTGTACCAGTGTACATCCTCTGATCTAGCCAAATTTTTAAGGTAGGATTGGGATCATGATAGTGGAGGGAGGAAGCATTTAAGAACTAGAGGAAAGTTGTATGTTTCATCATTGCTAACTGCACCCTGACTGGCTCATCTCCTCTCCACAACCCTTCGGTAAGGGGATGTCCAGTTGCCTACAGATGGGCTTTGGTTCCCCAGTCTGCACTTCCCCTCAGTCACAATGATATGGTTTTTTGTTTTTTGATGCCTGATACCTGATCCCTTTGACACCTCATGATCACACAGGCTGGTGTGCTTCTTCCATATGAACTTTGTTGATTCTCAGTTAGATGGCCGCTTGTTTACCTTCAAGCCTTTAAGAAATCAGACACTATATCTTTTGATAGCTGGGCACCATCAGCTTTCTTCACCACATTTGCTTATGCACTGATTTGTCTTCAGCAATCATATTAGGAAGGTGAGCACACAATGATATGATTTTTTGTTCTTTGGTGCCTGATACCTGATCCCTTCAGCACCTCGTGATCACA